CCAGATGAGCATGAAGCTCATTGTTTTTTTTCTGGTGGCTCCTCAGGCCAACTGGTGCTTCTTTCCACCCAGTGGAGTCCCCAATTCTTAGTCAGAGGTGAGGCTCAGCCCTACTAGCTCAGTGTCACTTAGCAGATTTGGAATTCCAAAATGTTATTTGTGGCCCCTTGGCCTACATTTCAACACCTATATCCTGAAATAACAGCATTGTGTATCCACACCCCGTGATTGCTAGCCCATTATTATGAGGAATAAATATGGGGTTTAAGATTTTTCCCCCCCAAATTGCTTTTGGTTACTTCTTTTTTTTATTCAATACCATTTTGTCTTTTCTGATTTTATAAATACTCCATATTATAGAAATTGTCAAAAACGTGGAGTGAAAAAAGACCCACTCATGCATGGGCAGGAGATGTGCTGAAGGGAAAAGGCAGAAGTTTCTGCTGGGAATCTGCTCTCGGGCCTGTGCCTACGGAGGACACCGGGAGAGGGATGTGGAGAGACTGGTGGGGTTTATGGAGGGAAGGGACTCAGAGAAAGCTATACGTTTTAAAGAGCTCTGGAGAGAACTTTGTTGGCTGAGGTGCAGATGACCCTTTCTTTCCTATGCCTTCCCACCAAAAAATGTCATAAAATCCACATTATCTGTGTATGCTTTTGGATTGAATTTATATTGGGGTGGAGTTGGGGGAAGAGTAATGGACAGTGTGCCCTGGCTGGTGTGGCTCAGTTGGTCAGACATCGTCTCGTGCACTGAAAGGTCGCTGGTTTGATTCCCTGTCCGGGCACACGCCCGGGTTGTGGGCTGGATCCCCCCGGTAGGGGGCGTGCAGGATGCAGCTGATTGATATTTCACTCTCACATCGATGTTTCTCTCTCTCCCTTCCTCTCTCTAAAAGCAATAAAAAATCTTTTAAAGTAAAGAATAATTAATGGACAAGGCACAAATTCCCTTCAAGGAAGAGCAGAGGGTCCTCAGGTTACACAATGAGAAGAAATACAGATTAAAACAAAATCCAGTGTCCCATCTTATCCCATCTTCTAAAGTAGTATTTGGGAAAGGTTTTCTTGAATAGTCTGGATAGTAAATACAGGGGTGTTCCAGAAAATGCATACTCGCTTGAACAGCTGATAGCTCAATTTTGAAAATGAAATGTATTTTAATAAACACCGCCTTTATAATTATTCACAGTATATATACATTTTTGGGGGGATCCCCTATATTTTAGGCTTTGCCACCCTGTGTCAGGTGACTTCGTTGCATATCCTGTGAAACAGCTGGCAGAAATGAAATCATGAGACTTGAGGCGGTTCTGAGAGAGGAAGGGCTATTTTATAATACGTGTTATAATCATTGTAATATTACCAGCCACAATGAGAACACTTATTTTAGGTCTTTTCCTCAGGTCCTCAATTGTTGCTCCAGCAATGTGAGTAACACTCAGTAATGCTGGTGGGAACACTGGTGCGTGGCATGGAAGGAAGCAGGTACTTCCTCCTGTGGAGAGGGCCATGTGCACGGGATGCCTGAGAGCCCCACGTCTGACATTCCAGCCTCCTTACTAATGCCTGGTCCCCATCTTCACTTTTCATTTAGGTCAAGGAAGCTGATCCTCTGAGTAACGGCAGTGTCATGGTTTTTAACGCCTCCGCCTCTCCACCTCTGTATGAAGTGGAGCAGCTGCGGGCTCTGGCGAATTACAGCATCGGCATGTCCTGCCGGAATGAGATCGGCTGGTCCGCCTGGAGCCCTTGGATCCTGGCCAGCACGACCGAAGGAGGTAATTCCTGGTGCTCGGAACATTGCTCCTAATGGCCTGTGATTAGCAAGGCCTTCGCTGTGGCCTGATTTAGAGTTTAAATTTTGCTTGCTTGGACTTTGTCTCTGGAGGAGAATTTTATGGAGGTTGGCGGTGAAAATGGGAAAGAAACTTATAAACTACGTATAGGTAATATTTTCTTTTGCATAAAGTGGTAATAGCACACTCTTTATAGCATATATTATTTTTAATTAAAATATAATAATGTAAACATTGCTACTCATAGTATCAAACTCAAGAAAACTGGTGAATTTGCAGATGGCTAATGTTCACCAAACACTATGCGCCAGGGACCGTATTAGGTGCTTTACGTGCATTATTTCATTACATCCTCATAGCAGCCTTATGGAATAGGTAGTTATCGCTGTTATCTTGCTCATAGCAAATTTCATGTACATCTTTAAACTTTAAAGAATTTTCTGTATGCCGCTAGTGATTTTGAGATTTTTTTCCTTTTCAATGAGTATTGGAATAAATATTGAAGCTCTGTTAAATTCGAGTCACACACTTTTCATTCTTTCCCAATTAGAGCTCTAAATCACTGAGAACCTCCTCTGTGCCCTTAACTCCAGCCTACACAACTAGTGATCTAGTCTTAGTACAGACAGTGTGACAGCTCCAGATCAGAAATTGTTAAGGCTTAATCATTGCACAAATGAAACTCTAGTGCCAAAATTGTAAAATACCTCCTTTTCTCAAATGAGAAAGATAAACCTCTGAGAACAATTTTTATATGCTGTGTTCCATTTTCATTGAGTTCAAAATACTTTCTGATTTCTTCTTTGAGCCATTATTTAGGTATGTAACTTAGTTTTTAAATATTTGGGGGTTTTCTGGAGATCTGTGTACTGATTTCTAATTTCATTCTGTTGGGGCCAGAGAACATAATNTTAGTTTTTAAATATTTGGGGGTTTTCTGGAGATCTGTGTACTGATTTCTGATTTTATTCTGTTGGGGCCAGAGAACGTAATTTGTATCACTTGACTCCTTTTAAATTTATTGAGACTCAGAGTATGGTCCAGACTCCAGAGTATGGTCTATCTCAGTGAATGTTTCGTGTGCACTTGAACAGAAGGTGTATTCTGCTCTTATTAGATGGTGCATCCTATAAATGTCAGCTTATTGAAGTTGATTGATCGTGTTTTTCAAATTGTATCTATTTCTATCAATTCTTTAGAAAGAAGCGTGGATATCTGCAGTTATAACTATGGATTTATCTATTTCTGTTTGCAGTTCTCTAGCAGGTTTTGTTTAAGTGTTTTAAAGCTTTGTTATTCTGCACATAACTGTTTAATATTGCTACGTTCTCCTAATAAATTGACTGCCTTATTATTATAAAATTTTTTTCTTTATCTTTGGTAATATTATCTTCTGTAAAGTCTGCTTTGCTGGATATTATAATAGCCATTTTAGCTTTTGATTTCATGGTATATCTTTGTTTCATACTTATTTTTAACTTATTTCTATCTTTATGTTCAAAGTTTGTCTCATATAGGGAGCATATACTTTGGTCTTGCTTTTAATTCATTCACAATCTCTGCATTTAAATTGGGGTATTTAATTCATTAAAATATAATGTGATTATTCATATTGCTCAGAGCAAATTTCATTTACATCTTCAAATGTTAGGTTTAAAGGTTAGGTTTAAACCTATCACATTTTTATTTCTTCTGTCTGTAGTTCGCTTTTTCTTTTTTCTTTTGGGTTAATTGAATATTTTTATCCTATTTTATCTTTTTTGTTTGCTTATTAGCTATAACTCTTGTTTTCTGTTTTTTTCTGTGTGTGTTGTTGCTTTAAGGTTAATAGTGTACATGTTTAACTTATCACCGTTTGCCTTCAAGTGATGTTATACCACTTCATGTATCACGTAGGAACCTTCAAATAGAATACTTCCATTTACTGATATTTGCACAACTGTTGTTATCTTACTTTTACATCTGTTATAAATCCACTACATTGTTATTATTATTGTTCAAACAAGCAATTTTTTAGGGTGACATAAAATTAGGAAAAACCTATAATTACCCATAAAGTTACCAGTTCTAATTTTACACATTTTTTGGTGTAGGTCCAAAAAAATGCAGTGTCGTTTTCCATCTTAAACACCTTCATCATTTCTTGTAGCACATATTTGGTGAAAAATCTTTATTTTACCTTTGATATGTTTCTTTTGCCTTTGTTTTTGAAAGATATTTTTACTAGGTATAGAATTCTAGGTTCACATTTTTTTACTTTCAGTACTTTAAAAATGTTGTGTCTCTGTCTTCTTGCTTGAGTTATTTCTGATAAGAAATCTACAGTAGTCTTTATTTGTTCCTCTGTATGTTATGTATCTGCATGTATTTTGTCTCTGGTTTTCTCTTTATCGATGACTTTGAGCAATTTAATTGTGATGTGCTTTGGTATGATCTTTTTAATATTACTTGTGCTTGGGGTTCATTGAATTTCTTGGATCTATGTGTTTATGGTTTGCATCCAGTTTGGAAACATTTTAGCCATTGCTTTTTCAAATGTTTTTTTCTGTTCCCACCTCTCTTCTTAGAGGACTCCAATTACACACATGTTTGATCACTTGAGTTTGCCTCATAACTCATTGATATTCTGTTAGTTTTCCCCCCACTTTTCTGTTTTTTATTTTGCATAGTTTCGATTGTGTTTTCAGATTTACTGGTCTTTTCTTGTGCAGTATCTAATCTCCATTAATTCTATCTAGTGTATATTTCATTTTTCACATTATAATTTTTGTATCTTGTTTGTATCTTTCATGTTTCTACTTAACTTTTGGACCATATGGAATAGAGTTATAACTGTGTTTAACGTACATGCTAATTCTAATATCTGTGTTATTTCTAGGGTAGTTTTGATTGATTTATATTCCTGTTATGTAGAAGACTTTGCAGTTTCTTTGTGTAGCTGGTAATCTTTGATTGGATTCCCCTACATTGTGAATTTAACCTTATGGGATGCTAGATATTTTTGTATTCCTATAAGTATTGAGCTTTGTTTTGGTACATTGTTTATATATTGGGAAAACTTTGATCCTTGTGGATCTTTTAAGATTTGTGAGGCAGGACAAGAACAGTGCTCAGTCTAGAGTCAATTATTATCCACTATTGGAGACAAGATCATTATGTGTACTCTGCCCAGTGCTCCTCAGTCCATTAGATTTTCCAGTCTGATAGCTGAGAACAGATATTATTCCTAGCCCTGAGGGAGGCCCAGGCACTATTATCTTTAATTCTTTCATGTGTTTCTTTTCCTGTCTCCATCCAGAGTCATCCTAGTGACTCCAGGGCCTTCTCTCGGGTATTTGTCTTTCTTGGTTTACTTCCTCACTTTCATGGAGTGCATTGTCCATTAGCTACAGGGAGACTATGTGTAAAATATTAAAACTATGGGAACTTGCATCTCTTTATGTCCTACTGGATTGATAATATTTCCTAATACAGAATTTTATGTTGGAAATTATTTTTCCTCAGAGTTTCAAAAGCGTATCTGCATTGGTTTTTAATTTCATGAGTTGTTGCGGAGAATTCTGATACTTGAGTTTTCTACTTGAACTGTTGTTTAGTTTGGTTTTTAAAATACTTTCTCTCCTTAATCGTGGTGCTGTGATGCGCTATGATGTAGAATTTGTTTGTTATCGTGATAGCCTTTCAGTGGTTCTTTTGATCTAGAAATGCAAGTGCTTTGTTTTTAAGACTCTGTCTTATACATTTTTTCTTTGAAAATGTTCTCCTATTTTTCTGTCCAGAAATTGTATTAGACAGTTGTTGGACCTCTTTGCTCCCTCAATTCTCTTTTCTCAGATTGACCTTTTTTCTTTAATGTTTAGTCTACACTTTTGGAGGCTTACTTGATTTCTAATTCTTCTGTTAAATATTTAACTTTTCTTGTCATATTTCTAATTTCAAGAGCTTTCTATTTCATTGACTTTTTCTCAGTTCTCAAGTATGAGAGTCTTTACCTATCTTTGGGCATAGTAATTATCAGGTTGTTTGTTGTTTTAGTTTTCTCTAGTTCCCTCCATTGGTTTTGTCACCTCTGTGCTCTTTGTCATGTGTGTTGTTTCATCCTGGACATTCATGAAGGAGGCTTCCCTGGCCATTCCTGACCTTCACCTTTCTGCACCTACTGAAGAGTCGAGAACTAGCAACTTGATTGGACACTCTGTGAGTGTGGGTGGGGTTTGTAGACGTCACTGTCAGGTGATAGGGCGAGGATCTTAAAAGTGTTTTGCTTAGCATACCCCCAAGTATTAATATTGCTTTTCTTTTCTCTGGGGACTGCTTACTTTCTCTAGAAAGAATTCTTCTGTTTGCTGCCATATGCATAGAAACATGACTGCCCATGTTCTAGCAGCCAGGTGAGGAGGACAGGTGAGGTGGAATCTTCCTCATTCAGGACACAGACTTCCACTTATTTCCCCACTTGTCAGTCTGGCCTTTCATGGTGCCTCCATTCTACCGGTACCCCGAGTCCAGAGGCTTTTCAGTTCATAGAATGAGGTATCCTGTCTCCTGTGGGAATTTGGGGGAGTTCCTACCAGGTGTGTGGGAATAGGTTAGAGGAGTTTCAAGGGCTAATGACTTCCTGATCAGACTTTCAATCTGCCGGTTTTAGTACCTGGGCCCACAGCTTCTGAGCCGCTGCAGGTGCTTTTGGGAGAATCATCTTGCTGGGTTAATTATACCTTCTTCATTTCTTTTTCATCTGTCCAATATATGTGGAAATTTCTCTTCCACTGTTGACTCCTCTTTACCTTATGAGTTTATACTGTTTTAAATTCCTTCCTGTCATCATAGGAGGTTCTTAGGAGGGGAGCAGGTATAAAGACATGTTGAGTCGGCCACATTTATCCATAAATCCTACAATAGATTTGAAAGTATGCGAGTCATTTCCTAGGTACAGCTCAGCTGTATGACATGTCCTACACTGAAATTCCTTCTAACTGCTCCTGGAATCAGCAGGGGCGAGGAAGGTTACCGTACCCTTTCGTTGTCTTTTCAGATGTATCAGAGATATATTATTTCATCTCCCTACAGGGAATTTTGGTATATATTATTCTAGTTGTCATTATTCTTTCTCTACTCAAAAAACACTTTTTAAATTTCTAAAATGGATCATTGATGCGTACTTGTTGGCAATTGGATCTTTATCTCCATTAGGTTTTTTTTTTGTATCAATACATGTGATCCACCAAATTTGTTTTCATTGGCCAGACTGTAAGTATTTCATTGGAAAAATGTATCAAAATGTATTCTATCACAATTACTGACTGAGCATTATATTTATTCCTTTTTGTTTCTGTTTGTGTTACAATGAATATAATGCCACCCACAGGAGAATTTTTGTAGATTAAATTTCCGGAAATAAAATACTTGGTCAAAGAACATACTATTTTCTGTTTTAATACAGTCAAGTTTCTCCCTCCCCAAAAAAGAATGTAGTAATAACCTTGACCTGTTTCCTAAATTACTTTGAGTGTGTATACACACACACACACACACACTCACACACTCTTTCTATTCCAAAGTGCTTTAACTTTTACTCTGTGTTCTTGTGAGAGATAATAGTCATTTTGACAAAAGTGGGTATGTGATTTAGCAGAATATACTATAAACCAGAGAGTAAAAACCAGTGCTAAATGCTACATTTTACACCTAGCTCAGTAACTAACATTTGGCCCTCTAACCTCCAATAATGAAATGTCTCAGACATGTATAGTAATTTCCTGACTGATTAGTTCTGTTCAGACCATCAGTCATTTGCTTCTGGACTTTAGAGTGGTGGCTTCCTCCTGAGCTGTGCCGAGTTCCCTGCCCCGCACGTCTCACCAGATGGACCTGATCTCCATCCGGTCTGGCTGACCTTCTGTCCCCAGGTTTCTGCTGGAGATCCCTGTTCGAGGGTGTCCGCTGCGCTTCCCCTGGAGGAGTCCACATGCATCGCCGCCGTGTTCCCTGCCTTCCTCCTTCCTTGTTCTTTCAGCTGGGAAAGGACTGACTTTTTACAACTCATCTGCTATCCCAGTGGTCCTTCACGCCAAAGAGGGTGGAGATCTGCTCTTCGTCTCAGTCATTTGAGTGCTTTCCTAGAACATTCGAACATCAAACATTCAGAGACCGAGAAGAGAATGCGTCTGTGTGCTTTTCTTTTCAGCCCTTAATCTTTCTCTCCCTGTCCTTTTTAGCCCCGTCGGCAGCACCTCTGAACGTCACTGTGTTTCTGAATGAATCTAGTAACGAGATGGACATCAGATGGACCAGGCCTCCCATAGAGCGGCAGGACGGGGACCTGGTGGGCTACCGGATATCCCACGTGTGGCAGAGCGCCGACGCCTCGGTGAGTCTGGGCGCCAGCACAGTGCGCGTCTCCTGTCGCCGGTTGAGTTCTGTTTCAGAAGCTCTCCTTTTGTTGTGAGATTGCCAGGTGTCACTGAGTTAGGCAAGGCACCTCTCAGCGGGATATGAAGAATGTCTTAAAAATTGGAGGTCACTGAAAGTTGTAAAATTCCAAGGAATCGTTCATCTGTTCGTTTATTTTCTCAGTACATCTGTGCTATCACCCGAGTCTCGCCTTCGGGGAACTTGGGCTCTTGTAGGAAGATGTGTGAACTACCCAGATAAGCACAGCAGAGGGTCGAGAAGCTACAGGGCTTAGCAGGCCAGCATTCATAGCCTCTTGGAGTTCCAGGGGACACTTTTCTGAAGAAGACTCAGGGAAGAACCTGGCCGCACAGAATAGCAAGGGGCAACCAGACTCTGAAGGAGAGGGCTCAGCAGGCAACAGGCCGTCTTGACACAGCTCCATCGGAGCAAAATTAGACACAAATCTCAACCAACCAGAGCAAAGCCGTTGCCACTCGCAGCACAGCAGACAGCAGGAGCACCAGCCTGGTGGCGCAGGTTCCCTGCCCCCGAGCTCCAGGGAGCCGTGCAGTGGGCCCCGTGGTGGGCTGTGTCACTGAGGGTCCTCGGGTCAAGAGCTCGGCACCCTGAGCATTGAGAACACACAGCCCATGCTCGGTGCAGGTGCACGGTGGCCTCGCTGCCACCACACTGACCAGCTTCACTGGCGACGTGACCAGCCCGTGTGGCTCAGGGTCAGGGGTGGTTAGGCCTTGCAGTTTGTCCTGCTCAGCAGTAATGTGCGGGGATGCTCAGGACCATGCAGATGCCTCTCCGGTAAAGTGGTACTTGATCTGGGCTTGGAATAATCTTGACAGGTGACAATTGGAGGGCTTCCAGATGGAGAAAGATCACAGGAGACCAGGCATCATGTGACAGCTTTGGGAGATCAGGGCTCACTCAAGGCCCTGGAACGTGAATGCTTTCAAGGGTGTGTTCTGAGGGAAGCTGGACCAGAGTCAGGACCATGTGTGCAGGGCCCTGGACGTTGGCCGAGGTGTTAGATAAACTTTGGCAGATGGCAAGGGAGCCAGTGAGAACCTTGAACTTAGGAGTCCAGTTTAAGAGTTGTATATTACGAAGATGGCTGATATGACTATTAACTTTTACAAATAAGAAAATGGAGTTTGTTAAAAGTAACCTTCAAATCTGCTGTTTTCCATCAGAGCGTACGACCAACTGGCAGGTCACTCAGCAGCTTCTCCTGCTGATCACTGAGAATGCGGAGAGGAGCCTGCACCACCCAGCGGTGTGACAGGGCCGGGCACACTGGCTGGGAAAGGAGGGCCAGTGTCGGGAAGGGCCCCCTCAGCCCTGAAGGCAACCTTGATTGCTCCCCACAAGCTCCTGATTTAAATATTAATCTCATCTAAAAATACATTTTATAGCAACATCCAGCTGAGCGTTTGACCACGTATCTGGGTACCACTGGCACATAAAATTAACTATCAGAATTGTCAGTGAGTGTTGATTAATAGTCCGTGCTGGGAACTGGGGGATGGCAATGTGTCAGGATATCAGATAGCCCCTGCCTTATTGATGAAGATGGCAAGATCCTATGTGGTTCAGTAAGGACTATTTGGTATAAATAGTAGTTTCATTGCACAATAGCAGACAAAAAGCAGAAGGGTCTATGTGAGAACCCGTGACTGTCTCCCTAAGTACTAGCCATGCCCTTCCAGTGGGAGTGACATTTTAGGCCTGACTCCAGTCAAGCCAGAGGGACATCCTGGCTCGATTGCTGTGAGGTGTAAAGATCATAGCTGTGGTAGGAACATTTGATCAAGGACAGAAGTGGGGGATGCAGCTGAGTGGTGAGGCCTGAGTGGGAGAGGGGGGCAGGTCCCATACAGGCCCCATTCTCGCTTGGGAGAGGAAGCGGGCCAAGGGGATGCGGACTTCTTTGTGATGAGGCGGACGCACTGGGTTTGCCACCAGGACTGTCTCTTACCGCCGTCCCGGGGAGCCTCCTTGTTTTGTGCTTCACATTCCTGATCCATGTAACCCTGATGATGGGTCAGAGTTTGGCATCCTTGGGGCATTCGTGCAGGGCATCACATGAAAGAAACACAGCTTCTTGGCAGGAGAGCGGGATGGGGAACAGCTGCATCCACTGCTGATGTCCCCCAGCTCGTTTCAGTCCTTTTCAATCTCATGTCATCCAACTTTTACCAAAACTACTGCTTCCCAATAGGACAGCTGAGACATTCCTTTTCTTTCGTGGCCTCGGTTTACCTACCAGGAAGCGCAGACTGTTGGAAGCAGTAGGAGACAGAAGAGGGCTTAGAATAGAAGCCCGCGATTTCTCAGGCCTCATAGTAAATGACTACAGGCTGTTATTTGTACCGGTTAGAGAGCNTCATAGTAAATGACTACAGGCTGTTATTTATACTGATTAGAGAGTTGCAGCTACAAGAGAAGGAGCCTCGCATTTCCTGGTCTTTCGTCCCAGAGCATGAACAAGGTGCCTGTGGATTAACTGCATTTGCACCCTGTCTGGGTCAGGGGAAGCAAACCTCTAGAGAAAAGCTCCTTTTCACAGTGCTCAAGTCTTGGGATAGTACACGAAGGCACAATCGTTTTGTTTCGATTCAATGGGNCTACAAGAGAAGGAGCCTCGCATTTCCTGGTCTTTCGTCCCAGAGCATGAGCAAGGCGCCTGTGGATTAGCTGCATTTGCACCCTGGCTGGTTCAGGGCAATCGAACCTCTAGAGAAAAGCTCCTTTTCACAGTGCTCAAGTCTTGGGATAGTACACGAAGGCACAATCGTTTTGTTTCGATTCAATGGGAATTTTTTCCTTCTTGGTTGGCAGAAGATAGTGATCATCGGCACACATTTAAGGGACAGGTCCTTGTTTCTCCTCTGTCGTGGGCGATAGCTTCTTCTTTAGAGGGGGACTTGAGCTGAAGGGCAGGAGTGATGAGAGCCCTACGGGTGACGCAGCACAGACCCTAACGCCCTCACTGCCACTAACACTCAGCCGGGCCGTGCATTCTTGTTGCCTTTGCTCACTCAGATCAATCTCTTTGCAGTAAGAACAGTGCTGCCACAGTTAGGGCTGTGACCTTTCCAGTCATTACTCCTTGGAGATGCTGGGTCATCCCTTGAGAAGGTCACTTGCATTGAAATCCTGCTGTATGTTGTGCTTCGTCATGGTTTTGTGAGAACAGAAGGCTCAGTGGCTCATTTCGGACAAGCTGCAACGGAAGGCAAATAAAACACAGGAACAGCCAACCCTGGGAGGAGCCTGACCTCTGCACCCTTCACCTCCGTTTCTCGAACGCCCTTCACTTCCAAGGGGCAAGATGAAGATGTGAACACACAACTTCATCTCCAAACTGTCCTTTCATTTTCATTTGTAGAAAACTGTTAGTGAAGCTGCGTCCATCTTCTTTATAAAGGCTCCAGGATTGGATATTTTTTAGAGATTCCCAGTCATGACTCTAATAAGTGTAGTTTTTTGTATACACTTTTGGAACTTTCTTGGACGTGGCCCTTTCGATGGATTATTGCAGTTAGGCTGAAAACTTGATTTTCAAAGATTGTACCTTTATTATCCCACAACTGTTGTGTCCCTTCAGACTAAGAGACTCCTGATAAGTACCGTATGGATGATCACTAGATCTTGGTAGCACATTGACCCTTCTTTGTTCTATTTTTCTTGATATCCTTTGCCTTCCTAATAAAAACTCAAAGGTCAGGAGCAAGTACAGTCTGATCTCCTTGAAGTTGGAGTATGTCTTGCCTATCTTTGCACCGTCTTAACGCAGGACCTTCAACTCCCTCTATCGGTGTTTATGGTGCTGCGGATTTCAGTGCGTGGACCTGGCCAAAGTTATGACCAGCAAGAGAATTTCTCTCTCAATAGGACAGCGGTCTTTCTTTCTTTCTTTTTACTTTAAGTACTTTTTTATTTTTAATTACAGTTGATATGAAGTATTATATTAGTGATTAGACTTTATATAACTTACTAAAGGATCACCTTGATAAATTTAGATCCACCTGGCACCATACATAGTTATTAGGATATTATTGACTATATTCCCTAGGCTGTACTTGACATCCCTGTGACTATTCTGTAACTACCCCTTCACTTTTTTCACCTACCCTTCCAACCCCCCTTCCATTTGGAAACCATCAAAATGTTCTCTGTATCTGTAAGTATGTTTCTGTCTGCTTGTTTGTTTTCTCTTTCAGATGCCACATATACGTGAAATCACATGGCATTTGTCTTCCTCTGACTTATTTGACTCAGCACAGTACCCTCTAGGTCCATTTATGTTGTTGCAGAAGACAAGGTTTCATTCTTTTTCGTGGCTGAGTCATACTCCATTACGTGTGTGTGTGTGTGTGTGTGTCACTTCTTTATCCACTCATCTACTGATGGACACTTAGGTTGCTTCCATATCTTGGCTATTGTAAATAATGCTGCACTGAACATAAGGGTGCATATGTCTTTTTGATTTAGTGTTTAGGATATTTATCTGCAAATAAATACCCAGAAGTGGAATTGCTGGGTCCTTCTTTGTTTCTTGTTATATAGCCTTTGTTTATAGTCTATTTTGTCTGGTATGAGTATTGCTACCCCACCTTTTTTTGTTCGTTTGTTTCCATTTTCATAAAATATCTCTTTTCCATCCATTTACTTTCAGTCTGTGTTTGTCTTTTGATCTGAAGTGAGTCTCTTGTAGGCAGGAGATATGTAAGGGTCTTATTTTCTTATCCATTCAGTCCCCATGTGTCTTTTGATTGGAGCATTTAATTCATTTGCATTTAAAGTAATTATTGATAGATATGTAGATATTACCATTTTATTATTCATATTTAAATTGTTTTTTCTTCTTCCTAAAGAAGACCTTTTAACATTTCTTGTAATAACTGGTTTGGTGGTGATGAACTCCTTTAGCTTATTCTTGTCTGGGAACCTCTTTAT